ACCATATTCTACTAGTAATAATAAAAATTCTATACCAAAATCTACAACTAAACCTAAATCTACTGATGACTTACCAAATATGGATGAATTGGAAAGAAGGTTTGAAGCTTTGAAAAGGAAATAAAAGGTTCTATTTATTACCATATTGATGACAAAAACTATTATGATTAGACAATTTCTATTTGTAACAATACACAAACCCATTATTATTATATAAAATTTTTTTTACAATTATACAAAATAATATCATTGCTCACTAAGATTGTAAATAAATGTAATAAATGAAGTTTTATGCCTATAAGTCAGTGAATAAATATCAAACTAAAGTAACTTCCAATTTTTTATTCTCTTTCTGTACAGTTTCTGATTTAACTTTTTGTTTTGATGTAGATTGTACTTCATCTAGCAATGAAAAATAATTAGTTAATATAATATTTTATTAAAATTCATAAAAGAAAATAATTTACTTTCTACGTCTGCAATATGAAGTGGAGTTGTAGGAATTTTAGGAAATTCTAGTTCAAGCTGAGTTTTTGAGAAAATATTAGTTTCATGTTCACATTAATTATGAATATAAGTAAAAAAAATGGCATACTTGTTCCTCTTCGATCTGCCTCAATTCTTCTAGTATTTCATCTTCATCTTCACGTGTTATCTTTCCACTTAACAATTCTTCAATTTCCTATATGGAATAACATACAAAAAAATTATTTAAGATATCTAATGTAGGTTTTTACTATCATATGATGAAATAATATGTTACATTTTGGTAGGCAATAGCATCTGCAGTATCTTCCATCAACTTCTCCACTTTTTCAATTGACATTTCTTTATGAATTTCATTTAAAATATTGTTTCCTAGTTCCAGACCGCTTAACACATCCTTTTCAACCAACGCGAATTCTATTGTTTGAGTCTTTTTTTATACAATTACGAAACGTATTATACCAAAAAGAAAAAAATTTCGATAATAAATGTCTGATTCTGCGTTTGTCTTTCGGAAAATTTTGCGAGCTGAGAATACCAACCAATTCCTCGAGATTCAATAACTGTGTATCGGTTTTTTTTAGTAATTGTTCCTGATATCTTTTCTTTTTTAATGCCAAAAGGGCTCCACGTTTATTCCCATTATGCAGGGCTTTTTTTGCTATTTCCGTTTCTTTGTCGGAAATGACTTGAAGCTTTAAAATAAATTAGAAAAAAAATATATTTAACTAGACGAATATGAATTTCATTTGCTATATGAAGCTTACTTTTTTTTGATACTGTTTCAGCTTGTCTCGTTGAATTTTTAAATCGAGTATAGCTTGATCTTGTGAAGTTATTTTACTAGTCTTGCTACCCATTTTAACGAACGGATCGAGATTATTAGAGTTTTATCGTCAATTTTCTATGCAATGTTCCATACAAATGGTGTTGTCACGTGTATAATTCCGTGGTCGATTTCGACGAATCATCCAGGGCGACCACCAAAAACGCTGTGACGTTAGGGTGTTCAAAATACTAGTAAAATCAAACATTAATCAGGGTCGCATATGATAAATTTTTGGATTTTATAATTTATCGCCATGGCGACGTATCGCCACCCCTGATCAACCAATTAGAGTGCGGGATCAGGTGTAACGTGAAATCGAAGCGATTACGATTTTTTTTCAAAAATCGGCTATAGCAAGAAATTTTGTTTATGAAACTATCTCTCGGGCTTTAACAAAAAAAATTCCTCTCAAAATTTTGGGTAAAACCTTTTTGCTAAAGCACTTTATTCTAACCCTAACCTAACCCTTACCTTAACCCTAAACTAAGTATAGTGGAAGTTTATTTTGATTGGTTGTCGATCCCAATTATCAAATTGAATATGATTGGTTAATATGTCTCATATTACAATAATTATCATATGAAACTCTTATTCAATAGTAATATAACAACTCTTAAATTGTTTGTATAACAAGAAAATTTTTTTTATTATTACATTTTTCAAAAACTAAAGTACTTTTTAAAACCTTCAGATTAGTATAGATCAAATAGATTAAGATACTTTGTTTATATGTAAAAAATAGAAAATATATGAATTTTATATAACAAGCTCTTTTAAATTGATAATTTGACAACTTTCTTAGTTTCAAATATAAATAAACTAAACTTTTTATTATCATGATCTTCAGATCTTCATAGATCAAATAGGCTAAGGTATCTTACTTATATATAAAAGATATAAAAAATATGAATTTTATATCAGGACTTAAATTTGGCAACTTAGTTGTATATATAACTTTTTTTATTAATACAATCTTCAAGCTCAAAGTACTTTATAACTTTAGATTAATAAGTTCAAGATGTTCATTTATATAAAAAAGTGAAGAATTTATTGATTTTAAATTTATTTGATAAGTAAAAAACTTAGTAATTATATCTATATTATAGTTTAATTTCTTTACTATTTATCTATATTATTTAACACATTTTGTAAATCTATTTTTATTTTTTTTTTTTTTTGTATATCTTTTTCAAGTTCTGCCATATCTCCTAAATCTTCAAATTCTTCTGAATTTTAAGATTTTTTATTTTTAGTAAGAGTATTAGCATCTTTTTTAAGTCACTCGAGAAATAAATTAATATTTTTATTTATTCCTGTTTTGTAGTATTCCTTACAGTATTGACAACCATACTCTATTTTATTATAACAATGTCAATGAAAATCATGACCACAAATCAACACAGTGCCACACTTATTTTTATTTAATAGTTTGAAGTAATCATTGCAAAGTTTTGGTAAAGAAAATATTCCAGAACTGTAACCTGTTAATAAGCATATTATATCAATATCTTCATCTAAAATATAAAGTTTATATTTTTTTTTTATTTTTTGTAGTTTACTTTTATTATTTGTTATATTAGCAACTATACTAAG